TAGCTGCTATGGGCTAGCCATTGAGCCCCTGGCTCCTGTAAATATGTCTAGAAGGGACATTTTTTCATTCTTTTATTCTTTGGATTCAATCCCTTCCTTCTTTCCTTTTTCTCCCCTTTTGACTCCAGACTATGTGCATCCTCCCTCCACTATAGAAAGTGCGAGCACCTCTCTACTCATTTGGATCCAGTTTTTAACCGAGAGGGAGTTATTTCATGATATTTTGACTGGGACCAATGCCAAGGCAGGGGTAGAAATATATGCTCCCCAATTTTTTGCTCGCCAACTTGGTTTCGGCCAAACCTGGCCTGTTCCTCCTTGCTATTCAAGGAACTTGATAGACCGCTTCCATATTATTAATAAGGCGGAGGCAGAGGTTATAAATGCTCGCAATCTTCTTTTGACGAACCATTTTTCATTAGTCCCCTTCAATTCTAGTCATGCCATCCATTCCTTTTTTGAACAGCTCTGGCCGTCAGTGAAGCGCAGATTGTTTGCAACTGATGCCAATCGTGCCTTCCATTCACTAGACCAGCCGAGCATTTCTTCCCCTCCTCCTATTTTAGTCACTCCTTTGTCCATCCGGAGTCCTTCTCCTCCTCGTCGCGCTAAACAGTCTACTCGTCCATCTTCTTCTCTCCCTGTCAAGCCTACTGCAGCCAAAAGTGCCCCGAGTCGCAAACGACCAGCCTCAGCATCTCCCATTCTGGATGATGATGTTGATGATGATGATGATACCCCTCTTATCATCAGGAGGAAGGTAATTAAATTGGTTCACTCACAAGCATACTTTTCCATACTTGAAACTTTTCTGTGTGCTGATGATTTATTTTGGACTTCTCAGAAAAGTTGAGTCTCTCCTTTAAAGGCTTTGGTATCGGCAGCTCCTGCTCCATCATTCTCCGCTGAGGTTGCTTCATCCAAACCAGCTGATGAAGGGACTACGCTTAAAGAGACATCTTCAGTTCCAGAATCTTCATCACAACCAATGGATGAGCCACCTTCTTCTCAGGGCGTCAACCCCCCAAACATCGAAGCAGAAGGTAATTCAGTTTTTTCATGCTTTACCTTTGCTTGTGCTATTGATTTCTGATTTTTTGCTTTTGAGTTCTGCAAATGCTCCTATGAGTCTGCTCATTGTGGCAACATCTTCTCGCTCCGACAAGGGGAAGTTCACGCGAATGGTGGAGCCACAAGTGGCAGACTTGGCTGATGATATGCCATCTTCCAAGATTATTGATGAGGTAGTCTTTGCTTCA